GTGGTTCGTGCAGAGCAGAGACTATCCATTCACTTTTTCAATTCGACGTACTAGTCTTTCCTTATATTTTAGTATTTGGTTTCATTTCTTTTATTTCATTATTTAATTTCAGTTTTTATGGATAGGAGTCCGCATGATGGGTTCCCGAGTTATAATGATATCAAGAATTTTGGATATTGTTATTTGGAGGATTATTTAATTAATTATTTAAGAGTTATTATTTAGTTTTTTCTTTCTTCTTATTTATTCTTAATTCTTTTTGTACTCAATACTTGTTTAAATATTAATTGTTTGATATCCTTCGGTTCTGTGCTCGGACTTGATAACCCGTGGCTTTAGAATCGAGGGATATCACAGTTGGTATCAGAGCACTCCAGGTTCAAGTGTCTCTAGGATTCTTTCGTTATAAGATATTCGCGTAGCGTATTATTTTGTTTAGAGCATTTAGGATTCATTGTATTCCTTTACGGTCCGTTTTAATCGTACTGATGTTTATCTTTCTATGTTACTAGAATAGTTAACGCTAGAAGAAGATGGAACAATATGAGAAACAGGCAGCGAATGGGAGCGGCACGTAGGCAGCAGGATTCCTACGGCGTCAGCAACTTGAGGAAGAGTAACAACTGCCTAGGTTTCAGAAGGAGGAACAGGAGGAAGATGGTCAGTTGCACATTGAGCAGGAAGAAATACAGTAGACTCAGGAGTCTTAGGATCGGGGCTACAATCAGGGCAGGGATCCAGAGTATCTTCCTCATGTAAATGACCTCATTGCTCGGGCTATAGAAGCAGGTTTAACAGCTACACTTCGGAATCAGCAGACACCTATACCAGCAGCAGTGGTTCAGACTGATCCTTGGGAGAAAGCTAGGAGTTCTTTCACAAAGGGGAGCCCACCTAAATTTTTAGGCTCCACCGATGCGAAAGTAGCTCACCGGTGGAAGAAGGACATTGAGTGACATCTTCGCATGGTTAAGTGCATAAAGGTTCAGAAGTAGATACTTGTTACCTTCAAGCTTGTCGGAGATGCACTCCAGTGGTAGGAGATAGTTACCATCGCGGAGGAGAGGACTTCATTAACTTATGATCAGTTCAATGCTCGCTTCAATGAGATGTACTTTCCATATGCAGTCAGGACAGCTATGAAGACAGAGTTCTTTAATCTAGAGCAGGGGAACATGACAATGGCAGAGTATTAGCAGCAGTTCACGCGCTTATTTCTATTTGCTCCAGAGGAGGTGGATACCGAGGAGAAGAAACGTAACAGCTTCATTAAGGGACTTATGTGGTCTATTAAGCGATCTATTACAGGTAGTCCAGCATACACTACTTATGCTCAAGTGGTAGATGCTGCTTTACAATAGTATCAGTTGACTGTGGATTTCAGATAGGCTAGGGGTGAGAAGCGGGGGGATAGAGACTCTGCTAATTAGTCAGTTGAGAAAGGGAACAATAATGGACATCGACACAATGATAAGGGCAGATTCCAGGGACAACAGTCTTGGAAGAAGCATAAGGGTGGTTCAGATGCTCACATAGATGGAGCACCTATTCAGAGGCAGCATAATGGGGGACCACTGGCAGGATAGGGTCAACCATAGGCTAACCAACAGAGGAGGAAATTTGGCACCTTCCAGGGAAATTAGGCATCTTTCAGGGTCAGCCATAGGCTAACCAACAAAAAGTTGTAATATTTGGAAGATTTAAAATAATTTCGAATAGTTGAAAGATTTTTTTTTTTTTCCAAAATTTTCATGAAGAATAGTGTTACACAAGCTGATTCGGTTGAGAGAATTTTTTTTGCAGTGGTACTGACAATCACAACTTTCCAAACTTGTATTAATTATTTTGGGTTAATTACAACGACACTTCCTGAGGTTTGACATATTGACAGTCATATATAACTTAGCTCTTTTTTGGATAAAGATACCCCCTATAATAATTTTGATCCAAATAAGCCCTTAAAATGTTAAAAAAGACGAGATTACCCTTCAATATTTAATTCAATTTTATTGTAAAATATCAGTACTCATGAAAAGTCAAATTTGTCCTTATATATATATATATATATATATATATATATATATATAACAGTAGGGAAGAGAGAGCACCAGCCGCGACCACCACAAACAACTATGGCCGCCCCTCTCTCTTTGCACCCACCATCGCAGCCACAACCACCATCCCTCTCATCTCCCTTCTTCCTTTCTCCTCTCCACCCAATTTCTTCACCCATTGTCGCCATCGCCATCTGGCTCTTGTGTCGAGGAAGTGTTCATCGCCGCTGCGGATGACGGAGGAGGCGACAAGTTCTGGTGGGGTTCACGATTGTTCTCGGGGTTTAAGATCGGGAAAGTGATTCAGAGTCAGGTGGGTTGGGGTAGAATTGGAGAAGAAGATAAGCGAGTTGAGTGAGTTAGAGCGATTTAGATTGGGTGGGAGCCAGTTGAGTGAGTCTGGGAGCTAGTTGATTGAGTCGGGGAGGGCGAGTTGATTAAGTCGGTTGGGCCGCCGTTGAGGGCGTCGAGTGGTGGTGGCTGCTAGAGGAAGGTTGAGTCGTCATCGTCGTCGTCGTCATCATCATCGACGGCGGTGGTGGCTCGTTTGCGTTTAGAGATATGGTTGCGGTGGTGATGATTTCAATTGTTTATGTTCGTTTTGATGGAGAAATTAGAAAACCCAACTTCTGTGCAATTTGGGGGTGACGTGGTTGTTGTGTGCACGCTTCTGTGTATATGTATCTGCATCTGTGCAAAAGAGGGAAAACATGTAATTGTTTGTGTATATGTATATACATATATTCTTCTCTCAAACACACAAATATACATATATATATATATATATATATATATATATATATATATGTATATTTGTGTGTTTGAGAGAAGAAGCGATTTATAAATCTGTGTGCGCACAATTGGGGTGTTTTATCGGTTCAATTGGTTGGGTTTTTTTATGGGTTCAATTGATGGGTTTTGGTTGTGGTGGCAGAGGTTGTAGTGGTGGGTGGAGAGAGAGAAAGAAGGGGTGGGTAGGTTCAATTGGTTGGGTTTTTTTCATGGCATCATAAAACTCATAATTGAAAAATAAATAAACAATTGAACTTTTGGAGCCATACTTACATTGACATGATGTTAAAACGTGTTCTTTCTGTAAAATGGTCTTTCAAAAAATAATTACAATGACATGCAAAATTGTTGTACACAAATTTTTCATGCGCATTAGCATCGGTGCATAATATTGGGTACAAAATCACGCAACTATACGTAATATTTCTTTGAACATGAATTACAGCGAGTAATTTTGTCCACAATTTAAATAATTCTATGCATAGAATCAATGCCATATGATATCACTTTTGAGAATGCCATGTACCACTTTTTTATGCACACACGCCTACTTGAAAATTTTACGCACGAGTACTAAATTTTATGAAGAATATCATGCAAAGATGCAAAATCACGCAGCATTTTTATTATTTCCCATCAAAATCGAAAGGACAATTTTGGGAGAGAAAATATGGAATCAATATTTTCAGAAAATGACATAATTGTTGATTCTATTTTATCGACTACATAATCGATTTTACATAAATAAATTATTAAATAGTTTTGTATCATTTGACACATGATAGAGTACTAGTTCAATTTAAATTTTTCGATTAAAAAAATTGTCTGTGAATTGAATTGAATTGGTCTGCCATGTGTTAAATGATACAGAACTAGTATCTAATAATTTCTCTTAATAAAGAGGTTTTATTATTTTTTAAATCTAACAAAAGTCCTTAGATTTTATTTATGGGAGTAAGTACAAAATGGGATGACCTTTTGCAGCATTACTCTTCACTTCATTGTATAATCTGCAAAAGTCTGTTGGCATAAGAGCATCTGCATCGGCCTGTTTAGATTTTCGCTCTCCAAAAAAAAAAAAAAAAAATTATTATTATTTTTTTAATTTTTTCCTAACGACTATTTCCTAACAGTTATATTTTTCATCTTATATAATGAATACTCATTTACTTATTTAAAAATCATCATTATATTCATCTCTCTATTTGTATTCGTGTACTAAAACTTTTATTATGTAATATTTTTTAAGATTAAAAATAATAAAATTGTTTCCCAACGACAATATTTTTCAATTAAATAATTTCTTTGCAAATTATTAAAAAAAGTTAGATTGATATTATAACTTTAAACAATATATTATCCATTATGGATTTTTTTTTTCTAAAAAAAGGCAAAAAAACAAATTAAACAAAATAATTAAAAATAACTTAAACAACACAATATCCTGAATTTGATAAGAAAATAAGGATTACAAAATCCATGGGAATAAGAAAATGAATTAATTTTTTTTTTTTTTTGAAAGGTTTTAAAAAATTGAATTTTTTAAACTTTTTTTTTAAAAAAAGATTATAGTCGTTAAGACACTATTTGTGTCAGACAAACAGTGCCTTAATGGCCAAATGCACTATTTGTGGCAGAAATTTAAAATTTAAAGCAAAAAAAAGTTAAAAAAATATCAAATTTTAAGGAGAAAAAAAAGTTTTTAAATTTATTTTTGGCCAAAATTAAATTTTTTTTGGACAAATAGTGCCTAAACAATATGTCTTTTATTTAATGAATTTTATTTTATTTTTTAAAAAATAATGAGCTCAAAATAACCTAATTTTGGGTTTTTCCCATAAAAACCCATGCCGCCAAATAATGCCTTAATTCAGAACTGTATTACTTTGGCCAAAACGACATCGTTTTGGCAAAGGCAAAAGACAATAAAAAATTAAAAAAAAAACCCGTTCGGGCTTGGGCTTGGGCTTGGGCTTGCAGTATTTAGCGAGCCAAATTGCTAGCCCATGTGGGCCCGTCCAATTATTGCGAGCCCACTACAGTGCGTTTGGGCTGCTCACTCACGGAAAGGCCCGTTTGGCTGGAGCAGTGTGGATGCTCTAAAGTATGTATCCAAAAAGTCCATGTATTTGTAATTTTATCGTTTCAATTTGAGTGACAGTTGCTTTTATCCTCGCGCAGACAAATAGTTCCCAGTGTGTCCATTTTCAAAAATTTCATGGATGAAATCCAGATGGGTCTTTCAGAAACTGAACCCTCACCTTCCTTCATGGGCCTCCTCTCTAATCCCCTCCTTCAAAACCCTAAATTCCCAAAACCCTTTTCCAGAAACTCCAAAGTTCGTCCTCAACCATGCAGATATAAGCAGCCTCCTCTCCATTTGCGGCGAGGAAGGCTATCTTCATCTGGGTTCTTCCCTACATGCCTCGATCATCAAGAAAATTGAATTTTTTGACCTCGAAAATCAATATAGTTTTCGAAATGCCCTTGTTGTTTGGAATTCTCTCCTTCACATGTACTCAAAATGTGGTGAATTATTGGACGCAGGCAAGCTGTTTGATAATATGCCCATGAAAGACACCATCTCCTGGAATTCAATAATATCAGGCTTTTTAAGGAATGGTGACTTTGAGATTGGTTTTGGGTATTTTAAACAAATGTGTGATTTGGGTACTTGTCGATTCGATCAAGCAACTCTAACTACAATTGTTTCTGCATTCGATGGACCGGATTTTCTTTACCTAAATAAGATGATGCATGCTTTAGTTCTTTCAAATGGGTATGAGCAGGACATTGCCGTTGGCAACGCTTTGATAACATCATATTTTAGATGTGGGTGTTTTTGTTCAGGAAGGCGTGTTTTTGATGAGATGCTTGAAAGAAATGTGATTACTTGGACGGCTGTTATATCTGGTCTTGCACAAAATCAACTTTACGAGGAGAGTTTGAAACTGTTTGCGAAGATGCGTTGTGGATCAGTGAATCCCAATTTTTTGACATATTTGAGTTCGCTGTTGCCATGTTCCGGTCTGCAGGCTCTCAAGGAAGGGCATCAGATTCATGGGCTTGTCTCGAAATTGGGGATTCAATCAGATTTGTGCATTGAAAGTGCATTAATGGACATGTATTCTAAATGCGGTAGCATGGGCGATGCATTGCAGATCTTCGAGGGTGCTGAAGTGCTTGATAAGGTTTCTATGACCATTATTCTTGTGGGTTTTGCACAAAATGGGCTCGAGGAAGAATCTATTAAATTTTTTGTGAAGATGGCAAAGGCAGGAATTAAGATTGACCCCAACATGATTTCAGCTGTTCTTGGTGTCTTTGGCATAGATACATCGTTATCCCTTGGCAAGCAAATTCATTCTATAGTTATAAAAAAAAGCTTCAGTTCAAATCTCTTTGTTAGCAATGGGCTGATCAACATGTACTCCAAGTGTGGTGATTTTGGGGAGTCGGTTAAAATTTTTATTCGAATGCCTCAGAGGAACTCAGTCTCATGGAATTCCATGATTGCAGCTTTTGCCCGTCATGGGGATGGATCCAGAGCACTTCAATTGTTTGAGGAGATGAAATTAGAAGGTGTAGAGCCCACTGATGTAACATTTCTCTCTTTGCTTCATGCTTGTAGTCATGTAGGATTAGTGGACAAGGGCATGGAGTTCTTGGAATCCATGGATAGAGTTTATGGGATTAGTCCAAGGATGGAGCACTATGCTTCTGTTGTCGACATGTTAGGCCGAGCAGGGCTTCTTAAAGAAGCTAAGAGTTTCATTGAGGGATTACCTGTAAAGCCAGGCATACTTCTTTGGCAGGCACTGCTTGGTGCTTGCAGCATTCGTGGCGATTCTGAAATTGGTAAATATGCAGCTGATCAGTTGCTTTTGGCGGCCCCTGATAGCCCATCACCCTACATTTTAATGGCCAACATTTATTCCTCTGAAGGGCGATGGAAAGACAGAGCAAGTACCATTAAGAGAATGAAGGAGATGGGGGTAGCGAAAGAAACGGGGATAAGTTGGATTGAGGTTGAGAAGAATGTCCACAGTTTTGTGGTTGAGGACCGAATGCATCCACAAGCAGAGATTATTTATGGTGCTTTGTTCGAGTTGTTTAGGCACATGAGTGATGAAGGTTATGTGCCAGATAAGAGGTTTATTCTACATTACTTGGATCAAGATGGAAAAGGGATTAGCAACATTTTGACCATCTAAGATCCAACTACTTTTAATTGTACGAGGATTGTAGTTATAAACCGTCGTGCTGTTTTTCTATACGTTCTAACGATCTCTCTACTAACTGATATTATCTATTTAATTACTTTCAATCAATATGTGTTGGTTTGTTCTAATTTCAATCAATATATGTTGATTTATGATTGTGTGTATCGGTTTTGAAGATTCGGATGATCTAAAAATGGTTTTTTGCTCAACTGTGAGCACAAAGTTTAGAAGGAATCACAACATCTAAGCTCTTGTTTGTCATGTCAACTTGCTTCAACGACGGTCACTGTGCCCATCCCTGGCCAAAATTTTGACGTGAATGCCTCCTTTCTTCGTCCAAAGACAAGGACTTAAATTTCACGAAATTGTGATATGAAAATCAAAGCTTAAAGGATGCACTATCACCTTAACCTGGATGCCTCCATCACAGAACAAATAATGGAATCATATGCCTCAAAAATTGGCCAAAAATGTAGTAACTTTTCCCTTGTGTGTGTGTATATATATTGATTTAAATTGCGAGGGCTCAATTTTAAGGTGAAGTGGATTCTGCAAGAGTGAATGGGAATTCTGCTTGGCCAGAAAGTTCCTATCCTGCATCTTCCATTAGTTTTTTTTGGTAACTAAATAACCAGAACTCAGGTGTAAAAGACTGATTACTTTGATTATACCATCAAAATTCTACGTTTTGCCTTACAATGTAAGGTATACATGACATAGATTTTACAGTGTAGGCTTGATGAGTGCGAGACTCTGCAACACAAAACCTTAAAGCAGAGTTAAGTTGGCTGCCAGGCACCAAGTTACAAGACACGGAAGACAAACTCATCTTGAAATAACTTTCATGAATCGATTTATTGAAGAGAAGATGCCAGCTGCTTTATCAAACAACGATGGGCCTTTCTCTGAATTCTCTTCTACATCTCCAAATATTATCTGCAGAAGATCAAAGAAAAAAAGTTACCGGCTATGTACTTTCAAAGCCCCTTGCAACCCAACTTTGCCGGCCATGCTTCCAAAAGTTGCTGCATAATTTATGTGTTGATTGCAATTGTTTCCTTTTCTGTTCCCCAATTCCCTGTTCCTCAAGTATTTCTTTAGTCGCAGTTTTTGGAAAAAAGAACGATTTTTATGCATAAAAGTGTAAAACCTATTGAAAACTATCAGGCATCCCGAACCCCAAAATTTCCTTAATTAAAGGCATGGTTTTAAGAAAAATTCATAGCCGCATTCTGTAACATTATTTGTACCTGTTCAAGAGAGAGCGAAAAAAAAAAAGGAGATTCCGGGACTAACTAACCTCAAGTTCTTCTGCATCAGGACGGCTTATTTGTTCCTTGGCTAGCAGATATCTGTTTGGCCTATCCTTATCATCATAAAACACCTTCCATAATCTGGCAAAAAGTTAGAAAAAGATGAGGAGGTGGAGTTATTAGATCGGTTCATTAATATCCCGGGGATTAGAGCCGAAAAATAATGGGGCAAGCGTGAGAAACTGCTCAAGCTAGGCTTAGTGATGGCGTGCCATGGTAGGTCATCAGTTGGGACACAAATTCAATTTCAAGGTTCAATTTACTGGGTTCAACTAAAATTCACACATATGTTCTATAGCATGTGTGTATGTAAATATGTAATCAACTAAAAATCTAAATTCTGTCAAGATCGTAACCGTTCATCTATTTGGTTGTAGCCGGGGCTCAGGATTGATCCAGGCATAGAATGTGTTGGGCTCAAGCATACCTCAGTGTAGACTGAAGGGTCTAGTGGATGCTGGGATTGCGATAAGATGGAAAATGTTAGTGCTTACCCTGGGTAACATCTAAATGTAGCACCAGATGGCAGAGGTCTCATTGAATATACCACCGTGAAAGTGCTGCATGACAAATGAAACACATTTTATCATTAATATGATCACCACGCAATTTACATCAAGCATACAGAAAGGATTTAAAGAAACTAAGTCTGACAATTAAAATTTTGGAAAGAGATATCCAGGTTTAAACACACAAGCAGCACATAAATGGAATTACAAGCAACACATAAAAGACATGCATCAATCCTTTCAACATATGACAACATACAAGATTTATGTAATCTTATCAACCTTCTAAAAAGTCAATGAGTTCATATAATCAAGAAAAGAATGAATTTAAAATAAATACATTTGTAAAAAAAACAAAGGTGCAATGAGATGAACTACATGACTATTAAGGTGTGACAAGGTACAGATGAAGGCACTGCAAGGACAAGATAAATGCCCTATAAGTGCAAGAAGAGATGTTCAATAAAAAAGATGACCCAAATTATACAAGGCACAAGGAGAGACAAAAAGGAAAAGCTTTTGTCTAGTTGACATAAGTTGTAACAACCCTCATCCTACCTAGACACATAATATTGTCCGCTTTTGGCTCCCCCGGACCAAAGACTTCTCAAGGGGTCACCACCATCCTGGTACTGCTCCAGGTTAAGCAGGCTTAACTCTGGAGTTCTGGTAAGTTCACGGCCATCACGGCTTTAAAACGCGTTGTTCATAGAAGGGTGTAGAACCTACATATAGCAATTCATCTTTCCCAGGTGATGTGGGATTATGACACCCTGTAGCCTGCCAGTGCTCGCCCACATCACACCCGCCCACAGAGGTCGTCACATAAGTAGTCAGAATAAGCTTCATTGGGTTCAGTTGAGTTGTTACCCTATCCATACACAATTTCTAGGCAGAAAGAAAAAAGTTTGTGGACAGTTCCATTTTGTCCAAACAAAAATGGTTCTCAATAGAATAAAATTAAAAAATTCAAGTGAAAAGTGAGCATGGAAGAAAAATAAAAATTACCTTAAAAAGTACCGCCGCAACTTCCGGACATTGAACCCAACTCCAACATCCTCACTGATAAGACGTGGGTTCCACATGATAAGAGGCCTTGGCTAACAATATAATTCAAAGAATTATCAGAAAAAAATTTCCTTGCCAGCTTAAGGTGAAAATGAAAGAGAAATTTGTCAAAATGAACAAAAGGTACATAAATTTACACATATTATGGAAGATGCTGTGTCAGGGGCTTATTTGTTATTACTTATATAATGTTGGGGCTTATGTGTAATTTCTGAAACTTGTTATTATAAATAGAATGTGGTGGAAGGATGAAAGTATTCTCTTCATTCTTTCTCTCTTTTTCTCTCATCCGCTTTCTTCTCTTTTTCTTCTTTATCACTTACTCTTGATTTGATTATATCTTAAAGTCAAATATAAGTACATCACAGACATATTTAACCCCCTGACGCGTGTTGAGATAGACAAAAAGAAATACAAAAAAGACACCATCAAGAGTACAGTTTTCAAGTTTTCCAAAATTGTGCAGACCTTTTCTGTAAGATTTCCAGGCAAGATTTCCATTTTCCTAAAGTAAAAGGTTGAGGGTTCAAGCCCATTGGGGCAATGTGTTCGTGAGTTTCTTGTCACGATAAAAAATTATCTGTGAGTTTCATGTTAATTCAATGAAGTCTACTCCAATTTGCATACAATTTTCTGATAAGAACAATTACTTATTTGTTACGATGTGCATCTATGCCAGAGATCTAGAAGACGGAATGGATGAGACAAGAAGCTTTCAGTGGCAGCCTAGAAACCTCATATCCAAATCCAGCCAACAATCTCAACATATCTTCTTTGTCTCATTAGAATTATTCATTAGAGAACCATAAAGTCAAAGGAAAAATTACAGCACAATGATTTAAGTTTCTTTAGATTTTAGAAGCTATATCATCACAACACTATTGATATAGGTTTCCAAAAAAAAAAAAAAAAATAACCATGAGCTAAGGCCATGATTCTATTTCTAATAAAGAGATATAATGAGGTCAAGTAGTTACCGGATCATCTGAGAGAGCAGATGCAATTCGTTCCACATATTCCAACATTTGATAATCAGGAACGACCATTACAATGATTTCATCATCGATAGCTACAGGTTTCCGGTCACTTAAACTGGATGATATAACAAGCACATAATTGTAAGAATATATGAATTTTACAGAAAGAAAATCATCTCAATGATCTCATACAGTTTTGCATCAATCCATTCATTAATCGAAGCATATAGGGAGATATAGAATCAGAAAACCCCAGTGACACAGTCTGACTACTGGGTAAATAGCATACAAAGCAGTGTTAGATCCCTCTGAAAAGAACAACTACCCAATCTAAATTAATGGAGTAATTTCATCTGTTTAGTGAAATTTACCTGGAGAATCCGAAAACAGCATCTTTCCACTGATATTTTAGAAGTGCGGCTGCACCAGCATCCGGAAATATGGCTTTAACTCTCTAAGAACAAAAACTAGTGGTTGAAGCCAAATAAAATGAATAATGACTAAATTTAGAATTTCTTATTTATGTAGCATTCTAGTCAAAATTAAAAAGCAAAGAAACCACACACTTTTGTCCATTAATAAACTGGTTTAGACATATCAGCGTCAGAAAAGAAACATTCTACAGACATCTATATGAATGGATTCCAAAATCCCAACTTTCATGGTAAGCAAAAATATTTATTGGCTTATAACTTTCTTAATGCACTATCTTTTTAACAAGTTTAAAATATCAAATAGTTTCAATTGCAAAATATTACTAAAGCAATGCTCCCCACTGACCTGACATCCTGTTTCCTCAATAAGTGTATCCAAGAAAATTCTCGACAGTTGCCATAGCTCTGCTTGGGCACCTTCATCATCAAGAAACTGCAACTGTGGGATTAAGAGCTCAACCTAAGTGGGGAAAAAAAGAAAAACATAAGTGAGAGTAATAGACCAGAATCAGCAGAAGTGTTAGCAAATTCCACATAAATCAGTATTGTAACATGCAGAAAAGCAATAAATACTTGCGATCAAAGTATAAGAAACAAATTTGACAGCTTGACCAGGAATAAGAATTGACTAGCTTTGCAAGTATGCATTGGAAAAATGCTTCCTGAAAAGACAACTTGACAGTAATCCATGGACTTCTGATAAGCCAGTAGCAATTAGTATCACTTTCCAAAGACTTCAAGATCGAATATATGCCAATTGATTCTGTATAACCCAGTAGATACAAGTCTTCAGGTTAGAATAATGTGGCTTTAAATGTTTGATGTGTATGTGTGTGTTAGGAAATACATAAATACTAAGAAGAATTCAGAGGGGATCATACTTATACAATGGTGAGAAATAGCAGGCAAGTATGAATTAATCATTCTTTATACTAATATAAGTAAGAAGCTCTTTTAACATCCCTAAGCTTCTAAAATCAGAACCGAGTATAAGATTGAGTTTTCTAACATACTATGGCTCTCATTCCTCCTGAAGACACAAAAGTGGCACTTGCTTGACTTGACTGTCGGACTGCACCTTCCAGATCAGAAGGCAAACAGCTGAAACATACAATGAATCAAGTAAAATATTATTTCCTTCCACCATTTTGATAGAGATACAGAAATATAGAGCTAGCATTAAACAAAATGCACCAGTTCATCAATGAAATGTTGCTTGACAAGTAACCTATATGCTTTAGTTCTACATATAAATAGCTTAACAGAATGGACAAAAACCCAACAAATAGTTAGTTTTGAAAGCATATTCCTCCACCTATTTATACTTGGAAATTCATGTGCATGCTTAGAAATGCATTCATGAAGCATAATCCCAATATAAATAAATGCACAATAGTAGGAATGATCACTCTAGTATCTGTTCAAATAATAGAAAAATTACATTGCAAACAGCAAATTCCTTTTTAAGGATATAAAACGTTAAAAGTTTCCAAGTTACGGTAACCTATATTTATATATAGAGAGAGAGAGACAGAGAATAAAGGTATTCTATGATTTGTCCATTACTGCCTTTTCCTTGCATAGCTGGTCCAAAACCCAAAAATGGAGGAAGGTTCAATTAAATAACTGGTAACCAATGTAAATTATATGTCAAATGACTCAAACCTATATTAACATGAACTTGAGAATATTTGTATAAATTTTTGGAAGTTCCCCTTATGGGACGCATTGCATCAAAACTTTTGAATATCTATTGGCCACTTACTTTCTTGTTGATATGTCGACTTAGTTTTCACTTTAAACGGATTTCACAAATAGAATAAAAGATGAACATGTGATATATAATTTTAGCAGAACAAGAAATGAGTGGGGTAAAGTGAAAATCAAGAGCCAAATATGCCAAAACGGAACAATTTCATTACTGGCATAGACTCCGTTGGGTAGAGATTTGAGATGATATTGCTTACAAAATTAAAAAAGAATGGTGTTGGAGTATGTCTCAAATTCTGTTGAAGGATGGGTCATGAAGAAGTCTGACCGGTCACACTATTTGTGACCGGTTGCAATTGTCGAGCGGCAAAGACTGGGGTATTGGATCGCACTTTTGCGGACTGGTTGCACTCGCTTGACATGTGTGGGAAATTGCTTTCCTAAAGGCTGCAGGACCGGTTGCACTCACCTGACATGTGCAGGATTGGTTTCCTTGTTTGAGAAACTGCTTTCCTAAAGGTTGCAGGCTTGTAGGGCAAGTTGTTTCTTTGTAATTCAGGAAGTTGTCTCTCACAAGGATTCTATTTTAGAGTTGAAGATTGATTTGGTAATTTCTTGTTAGACAAGGAATGAGAATCCTTGTTCAAGAAACAATTGGGTTTGAAGACGATAAATAGAGGTTGAGTTGGGTGGAGAGGGTAGAGAAGAAAAGATGAGGGGTGAGTATTGCGAGGAGAGGAGAGAGTGTACGCAATTCCTGAGAGGAGAGATGTAGCCTCAAAAGATGATGAGTGAGTGAGTGGGGTTGGGCATCTGGTTGCATATTCTCTTCTTGATTCATTATAGTGAAAGTTCTCTCCATGGACAGTCACGTAGCCCTCTCCATATTTGTGTGATTGATGATGTGATGATGATATGCTTCCGTATCAAAGCTAGTTGGAGGGAGTTAATATTCACAACAAATGGGTCAGATGGAGATGTGTTTTTGTCATATTATGTGATCAACATATACCTTCAAAATTTTAAGGTAAGTTTTATAAAGCATTTCTTAAACAAATTATACTTTATGGAACAAAATGTTGAATGGCTTACAAAAGATTTACAGATTTAGAGATGGGTGTGCACTTGACAAGAAAGATAAAACTTGATCCAAATACGTATGTGAGACAGTCTAAGTAGCACCCATTGGAAATAAAACAAGAGAAAACTGACTAATATGGTTTGTGCGACTGAAGTTAATAGTAGTTAGTCTTACTAAACCTTGCTTAAAATATGAACTCCATTTCAACTTGTTTAGGTCAGTAGCCAAGTTATTGAAGAAACAAACTTCAGTTTATATAAGGCGCTTATAAAAACTGAAAGGAAATCAAATTGTGTTTCACATAGTATTTACGCACACAATTTAGCAGTGTAAAATGGAATAATCACCACAATTGATAACAACAATAGCAGGAATGAGGGATGAATTAATAAGCTAATCTCTTAAATGACCTAACAACAATTCTAGAAACAGATGGATTCGTATTAGTGTCACAACTCACAAGAAAACTAAGAAGCACGAACACACCTCTAAGAAGGTGCCAGGTATGACACTCCTGGACATGTGTTTGTTAGTTCCTGGGGGTGTTCGGAACTGAAAATTAAATTTTACTATTTCTGATGATTAGGTGACACATCGGTACACTTGACCGACACATCCTACACACAACCAACGAGTCTTATTTAACCCAAACACGTCTAAAAGTAGCCTTATTTGAAATCTTAAAAATAAGGCACACCTCCAAATTCCAATATATATTTTTTCCGTTAAGAAGCATGGTCTCTATAAGTTAAACATGCAATGAAACCTTTTCATATAGGACAAAAGTATTATTGTAATAATAAAGTAGGAGAATAATAGCGTATATAATACAATAATCTTCAAGATATTTGCATAAATCCATCACCTGAATTAATTTAAAAACCATAATTGTCTTATAGATATATATAAAGGATAACTTATGCTTATATATAGTTGTGCCCATGCAGTGCCTGTGTCCTACATTTCTAGTGGAGCTAAGACCATCCCCATACCCTGCAATAGCAGGAGCCCTCGTGCACTAGGCTAGCCCTTTTTACTTATCTGTTGTGTTGTGTTGTTTCTTGTTCCTGTCCCTTGAGTCTGTGCTACAGTACTACTTAGGAAGAAACACAATGGCCTACATTTAAATGTTATGCAACCACAATAAATTCTGCCAATTTCTCTTGAACACCCCCCACAATGGTCACTCAACTGTTCATGGGTAAAGAAAAAAACCCAAAAAAGAGGCACAATCAATACACAAACACATACAAGTATACTTGGATATCTCTATACATATGTGAATCCAATTTCTCTTGAAACCCCACAATTAAACATACATCAGTACATGGGGAAAAATACTAATTACCCTCCATTTTCTATGCATGCCCTGCACACACTGAATCAATATAAACACCATGGTAAAAAAAGAGGAACAATCAATACACAAACACATACAAATATACTATGGACATCTATAATCTGTAAATATGTGATTCAATGCTGTCCTGGGTGTACAAGAAATCAAACCTGTCATCTTCTTCTGGCTCCTCTAGAATTGTCTGTTGCAGAGAAAGTGAAGCAGACGGGATGTCCTCAAGATTGTCTTGGGGAGCTTCACCTTGGAATTTATCAAACTTGGCACAAGTTCTTGAGTTAGATAGAGCTATGTGGAGTGAAATTCCATTATACCCACAAAGGTTGGGAGGATAAGGAGATGATGGAAAGAGAGGGGTAGAGGGTAATCTGGGAAAAGAGGCAAAGCAACAATACAAGCTTGAAAATGAAGAAGCCATGAGGTTTCAAGCCTCCAGCATTACCTCGAATCAACACACAAACCACCATGTGTGATGGTATAGCAGGAGATAAGTGGGTATGCATCGGGTGTGGAGGCTATAACTACGCCACACCGAAATGGCAACTAAATATTCGCCACGTCCGCAAAATGTCTTCTTTTTTTTCCAAATAATTTTTTTTTTTTAAGAGAAAATTACTACGAAATCCTACTTTTCTTATCAAAAGACAAATAAATCCTAAAATATTTCTTTAGACCAATAAATCCTTTTTTTTTTTTTTTTTTTTTTTTTTTCCTTTTCCCTTTCAATTTAAGTCCTAAATTACTAAATCTTTCATTTGAACCTTATTAAATAGAAGTAAATTTTTTTAGTTATAAATTTATTCTTGATATATAATTTATTTGTAAATATTCTTTTACATTTTAGCTACTTAATAATATATCATTATGAGATTAAATATTAATTAATCTAATTTAAATTCAATTAAAAAACTCTCGTGTAGAATACAAGATTTTAGTAATTTAAAATTTTTTAAATATAAATAAAATGTATTTTTTATTCAAATTTTATGTCTGATTTTGTAAGGGTATTTATGAAAGTTTGGATATAAATTTTATATCTAATTTAACAAGAGTGTAAATAAATAAAACGTGTGTACTAATGATAAAAAATAACGTGAGAGATGTTCACTGTTGTTGGTAGATGTACAGCTTTGTGATGAAAAAAATGCTTTTATTAGGAGAATTGTTATAAAATTATTATTAATAAAACACATAAATAGCTGTTTGGAGATGCATTTTATAAAATACTTTCACAGTTGGAGCATTTTTTAATTTGTTTAGTAACAATGTTGTTTAAAAGCACTTTAATACTAATTTTACAGTAATGTATTTTAATGGAGTGCTCTTAGATTTAGTAATTGTAGGACTTTGTAAGAGGGAACAAAATTGTCTTAATTAAAAAAAGGGTTAATTTTGTTTAATAAGAAAACAATTATCTAAATATAGAACCTCCACTTTGTATGCAGTTTAAAAGTTAAAATTTTTAACTTTATTCAAAATCTCTCCCATTCAAAAGTTTTTTTTTTTTTTTTTTATTTACCAAACACATTTAAAAGCAAATTTTTAAAAATAAAAACGCATTTAAATGGTTTAACAATCCCAAAAAATTTGTAATCTTGTTTGTCTCAACTCTCAAGACACCACGCATATCATGAGAATTATTCAAGACAATAATGATTCTTAAGGTGTATAGTGGAACCAAACCTATGATTCCAAATAACCTTTTCTGCTTTTGTATTATTTAAACAATATGAGAAGGTTCTGATCAACTAAACAAACATTAAATCATTAACAAATGTTTTTTATTTTATTTTTTAATAAGGCAAGAACAGTAAGAAGTTAAATTAATGGATACAAAGAGTTAAAATCTGATACTCCAAAACTCACTGAAAGTACTAATTCATTAAGCTACCGAGACATCTACGATCACTAGCAAATGTTAATAATTAAGAATAAATTATTCTTGATTTAACCCTGCAGATATACTAACCCAAATGGATCTCATAACAAGGAAAAAGTTTAGGTTTCTCTGATTGTACAAAAGAGAAATTAATCAAACAGAACTACTTTGAGGGGTTTAACAAAAAATTTAAATCGGTAATGCATAATAACAATTTTGAAAAGGGAAAGGATATATATTTCTATTCTTAGCAACAATATATAGATGTCAAAGTACATATTTTCCTACCCAAGTGCATAGCGGCTTTAGTAAGGAGTCAAAAGATAAGTTTTTGAGGTATCGCTTTCGAATACGTATTTTAAGAAAAAAAAAAAAAACGAAAAAAATTCATATTTTCCTGTTTCTCTTTCTATCATTCTTTTGCTTTCCTAAAAATAATGTCTCGCATTATTATCTACATAGTTCCAAGATCCATAGGAGATTCTTGTATGCATACATTTGGCTTAGTTTACTCATTAAATATTAAACATGCAGGACATTTTATTTCAACATTGTTTTAAAAATCACGCACCCAAAATTATTGTTTTGCTAAGCTTCTGACCCTCCCAAGACAGAGGAGCCTCATGCCATTTTTTTCATAAACATTTTAGAATCACACAAATGTAGGAAATTGTATGTGGTTTGTTTGTTTACTTATTTATTTTGTCAAGTTCAAAGCACAGATATTGACATAATAAAAAAGATTGGTGGTCCATCATTGCCACAACAAATGAAACATATTTAGAATCAATTCATTAATTATCCCAAAGGAAACTGATACAATCTAATAATAAACAAAGTAACAATTAAAGGTAATGTTGCATACTTTATGTTTTGCTGTTCCGAATTTAGGATCGGAGAAAATTTAGTATAAATTTTAAATTAAATTTTCTTAAATTTTAAATTAAAGTCTCCAATTCGTTACTCCTAAAAAAAAAAATAGTTCAGCACCCTGGAGAGAGGAAAATAATAATAATAATAGTAAGATAACCCAGAGTACGTAGTGCATACCATGCGGTATTGAAGAAGTTCTATAGGAAGCGTGCAACATTCAAGAGAAGTTGCTAACTACTTCTCATTTAATATTAATTATATATATATAATTAATATTGTTGACTAAGTTGTACAGTGACTTTTTAAAAAAAATAAAAAAGAAAAAAAAATTGTAATACTTGAAATCAAAAGATTAATGTAAGAAATTTTTTTTTTTTTCTGTTTGCAAAAGTGATAAATAAAAAATAAAAAAATAAAAAAACAGAAACCTTGTTGGAGGAAAAAAAAAAAAAAATCGGTTTGCAGAAGCAGAAAAGAAAGTGGTTGACTCGTTTCTGGCTTGTCCATTTTAGCCCTTACCCATTTATTAATACTTGTTATTGACGGGTTGAAAATGAGTTACCGATCAATTTATATCCAATCCATTTAAAACCCACCCAATTGCCACCATAAGTCTATAACTATAATAAAACATTGTTAAGGCCAAATTTACTAATATTCGCAAGTCCCAACTCTACTCAACAAAGCGGTCTGTAAAATGGATTGCAGCAAGCTAAAGAGAAGAAATATTTTTCCAAGTTAACATTCATGAGGTGGTCGTCTAAAATATAATCGAAATGCAAGATGTGTTCCACTTAGGCTCTGTTTGTTTGGACTTAAAATATTTTTTAAAAAATATTTTTTTATTTTCTCGTGTTTTGTTGTTGTAAAATATTTACGAAGAAAAAAAAAATTAAAATTTAACAAAAATAATTTATCCATAAATTTTCGGCAAGTTATTTTACATGCCTCGCCTGATATACTCGACCTCAACTTTTGTCAAACACTGACGAAATAAAAATAAAAGAATATTTTATCTATAAAAAAAAAATATTTTCTAAAAGAAATATTTTACGTCGAAACAAATGAAACTTTAATTAAGAATCGAAATGCAAGATGTGTTCCACTTAATTAAGGATCCAAATTAAGGTTTCACAAGGTTTTATCTTTTTGTCAATGAATTGACATGAATGATCAGCAAGGCTTTGTAATCTTACGCCCTTACCACATGCAGTCATTTAGCCTTCACAATTCAGAGTACTCTTTCTCACTCCACTTAATTATTTTTTTAAGTAAAATAAATGACATAAATGGCGTCTTTTTTTTGAGACATTTGGGTCGGAATTGTGAATTTAAAAGTTGAAGTCTCAAAAAATTTAAACTGGACTTGGGTTAAGCAGATTGGCCCGTCCAAATTATACCCCTACCCTCCACATAATTATCTTAATCAATATATGTATATAAATTAGGACAATACTTGCCTACTCACCGGTGAGTAGGAACTTCATACTTACCACCTATATGGCAAGATAATAAAATGACAAGTGTCCTTCCAATAAAAAATAAAAGATTTGAAAAGTTATTTGGGTTAAGCCCAATAAAATTTGAATCAAATCCTAATTTGATTATTTCTCTTTCTTAAAAAATCAGAATCAAACCCAAAAAAATAGAAGGAATTGGATTAATTTTTTTGATGATGGTGAGACTTAAGAGTTCAATTGTAAATCTAGTCACTACCTGCTAGAGTATTTGCATTAAAATAGGCTTATTAACATTATTCAAATAAATAAAAGGAAGTCTTTAGTCATGATTTAGTAAAAAAATAAAATTTATTTTCTTAAGAATTCTTTTTGGTTGATTAATTATAAGACAATCATATATTCATATTTACTTTCACATGTGGGACAAGATACCCATTAACAAGTGCAAGCATCTACCTTTAAACAAACAATTTGTATTTTTTTATTTTTATTTTTATTTTTTTCAACAAGAAGGCAACAGAGGGCTAAACAACATAAGCCACGCTTTAAAAGAACAAAATCAATATATATATATATATATTAGTTTACACATGAAATCTTATCACCCACAATCGAAAATCCTAATCCTATTCATTTCATGGATTTGATTTGAGCAAGATACTTGTAGTTGTGGTTCCTTAAAGCTTAGAGATTAAGGCAATAGAGTAGCATGGGAAAGAGATAATTAAATATGGATTTGATTTGGATCCTACTGGATTTAACTCAAATAACTTCTTAAATCTTTTATTAAATTTTTTTTTAACATTATAGGGACACTTGTCACTTTATTGTTGCGCCATATCGATGGTAAGCATGAAGTTCCTACTCACTGGTAAATAGATAAGTATTGTTCTATAAATTACAAGAGTTTAGATATTTATTATATATATACCATTGTCATGAAGGGCCAGTGGGGCGGCCGCCCCATTGATTTTTTTATATTTATTTATTTACAAAATTATTTATAAATTTTGTAAAAATCTTAAAAATGTCTCTATTTTTTGTAAAAATCTTAAATATGCCCCCACTCAATTCTAGTGCTACCCACTAATCACTATACATTATTGTTGTTTAAAGCGGCCTCATCTCATACAATTCTCGATCACCGGCCTTGTCCTGTCCTGCAATGTTATGCAAACACACCGAATTCTGTCAATTTCTCTCGAACACCACAAAATTTAGCATACATCACTATAGTCTGAACTTCCACTATATCAGAATAA